TACCAGGTGATGAACCATCTGATGCTGGAATGATTGCTGGTATTGTAATAGCTGTAATAAGTGTTATTGTTTTAATTTGACTGTTATCTGATACTAGGTGATGAACCATCTGATGCTGGTATGATTGCTGGTATTGTAATAGCTGTAATATGTGTTATTGTTTTAATTTGACTGTTATCTGATACTAGGTGATGAACCATCTGATGCTGGAATGATTGCTGGTGTTGTAATAGTTGTTATAGTTGTTATTGTTTTAATTTAACTGTTATCTGATACTAGGTGATGAACCATCTGATGCTGGTATGATTGCTGGTATTGTAATAGCTGTAATAAGTGTTATTGTTTTAATTTGACTGTTATCTGATACCAGGTGATGAACCATCTGATGCTGGAATGATTGCTGGTATTGTAATAGCTGTAATAAGTGTTATTGTTTAAATTTGACTGTTATCTGATACTAGGTGATGAACCATCTGATGCTGGTATTGTAATAGTTGTTATTGTTTTAATTTGACTGTTATCTGATACTAGGTGATGAACCATCTGATGCTGGTATGATTGCTGGTATTGTAATAGTTGTTATAGTTGTTATTGTTTTAATTTGACTGTTATCTGATACTAGGTGATGAACCATCTGATGCTGGAATGATTGCTGGTATTGTAATAGCTGTAATAAGTGTTATTGTTTTAATTTGACTGTTATCTGATACTAGGTGATGAACCATCTGATGCTGGTATGATTGCTGGTATTGTAATAGTTGTTGTAGTTGTTATTGTTTTAATTTGACTGTTATCTGATACTAGGTGATGAACCATCTGATGCTGGTATGATTGCTGGTATTGTAATAGTTGTTATAGTTGTTATTGTTTTAATTTGACTGTTATCTGATACTAGGTGATGAACCATCTGATGCTGGAATGATTGCTGGTATTGTAATAGCTGTAATAGTTGTTATTGTTTTAATTTGACTGTTATCTGATACTAGGTGATGAACCATCTGATGCTGGTATGATTGCTGGTATTGTAATAGCTGTAATAAGTGTTATTGTTTTAATTTGACTGTTATCTGATACTAGGTGATGAACCATCTGATGCTGGTATGATTGCTGGTATTGTAATAGCTGTAATAAGTGTTATTGTTTAAATTTGACTGTTATCTGATACTAGGTGATGAACCATCTGATGCTGGTATGATTGCTGGTATTGTAATAGCTGTAATAAGTGTTATTGTTTTAATTTGACTGTTATCTGATACTAGGTGATGAACCATCTGATGCTGGTATGATTGCTGGTATTGTAATAGCTGTAATAAGTGTTATTGTTTAAATTTGACTGTTATCTGATACCAGGTGATGAACCATCTGATGCTGGTATGATTGCTGGTATTGTAATAGCTGTAATAAGTGTTATTGTTTTAATTTGACTGTTATCTGATACCAGGTGATGAACCATCTGATGCTGGTATGATTGCTGGTATTGTAATAGTTGTTATAGTTGTTATTGTTTTAATTTGACTGTTATCTGATACTAGGTGATGAACCATCTGATGCTGGTATGATTGCTGGTATTGTAATAGCTGTAATAGTGGTTATTGTTATTATTGTTATTGTGATTGTGGTTGTAGTGAGGAGAAAGAAAACACCAGGAAAAGACTGTAAGTATTAGTATTATTCAGAATAACCTTGTTTGAATTAGTAAATCCCACAAAAATTCTGATTTTTATCAGATTATGGAAGTGTAATTTTTAAGTTTTACCTCAAGTATGCATGCATTGAAAGCAGTTACAAGTTGATGATTTTAAAGATTGATTATTATGTTGTTTTTATTTTAGATGATACAGGAGAGAGTGGAAAAGGACCGTAAGTATATCTTCTGTTTACCTGTCAAACAAGGCTATTCAACTTAAGAACCATCCAAAATCACAATCTTGGTGGATGCAGTTAACTAAACTTAACTTCTGAATTGTGAATTGGATAGGTACATGTTATGCAGATGCTCTTTAACAAAAATTTGACAGAAAAATTAATACATTTGTAGGGTACCAAGAGAACCAGACCATGATCCAAAATATAACAACAGAAATAATGTAAGTAATTTGTAATTCTTCTTCTAGCTAGATCCAACATTGGATGTAGCATGCTTAGTTTTTGATTTCTGTGATATTTTCTTTACCAGCTCAATATCAACTATTCTCCTCACTTCTCAAACTCTGCATTCAGCACTTGCTTCTCCTACAATTCAACAAAATCATGTAGATGTTGTCAATAGTATGATACTGTTCTTAAAAAACGGAATGTGAGATGACATTGTAGAGGATACAGGATACAGACTTCACATTACAGTTTCAGAAAGTTGAAATTGAATAGACTTAGCATTACAGTGTAGGCCCTAAACCTTCTTTCCATTTTTAAACTTCTGACTTCCAGAATTAAGGGAACAAACTTGACTTCATATTATTATTACCAGATGCTTTTGTTACTATAAACAAGATTATATACCAGGCGATGAAGCATTATTGTCATTTTAAGATATCATAAATTAAACTTTTGACAGTGCCATTTTGTGGAGGCCTTTCAACTTGCTCCTCTTTTTTTATGCCTATTTTGTACAGCCTCTGTAACTTCAGTTATAACAACAAAAAGGTTTATGATCTCTTCATTGCTTATAACACTAAACTTTAAGCCTGAGAAAGGAAAAAGTAATCATTCGATACAAAACCCTGTCCATGGGTCACCTCTACAAAACAGAAATGTGGGTCTCTAAAGATAAACACAATTGGCGCCCACATATTCCATTCATTAAGCTATGCTGTTTTAGATTTCTGTTTGATTTTTAAGTCTGAAGTTAACATTACAAAACTAGTGAAAATATCATTGTTTTAAGAAGTGAATTTAGAATTTAAATTAATGACTGCTTATGTGCTACTAACTTTGTATTTGTAATATATATTCTTATAAGATCATAAAAAAACAATCATGAAAATATGTTGAAAAGTAAACAAATTGTTATACTTTGATCATTAGGAATAAATTGCAGAATAAATGCTTGTCAAAAACTAATTAACTAATAATAAAAGCATGTTGAATTGGTGATGGTAATTAATTAATTCAGATTAGTATGCATAGTTTAGTTTCAAGCATGTTTCCAAACAACATTTTAATTCATGAAACAATTTTCTTCCATGAAATAGTGTGGTCTATTGTAAACTTCAGTTCATAAAAGAAAAATTATTTATATTTTGACACAAATTTCTAGACTTTTTTTAGTTTTTTTTTCAAGAGATTTGAAAGAAATTTCTTATTTGAAAAATATTCATGCAAAAAAGAATCATTAAAAGGATTTGATATTATGAAAAAAATTGGAGAAAGGAATTTATATATAAAAATTAATTCACACAATTTAGGAAAATGAGTTTTTGACATTTGTACTTCCTTTGAGTATAAATTTGTTGCAAATAAGCAAAAAGGAATTTCATAATATTGTGGCATACCCTTTCATGGAAGAATATTATTTTCAGACATTTTTATTTCAAAATTTCCATGAAAGTCTTTTTGTCATAATATTGTCTTGTTCCTTTTTCTCTTTTGCAGCCATCTGATGATTATCATAAGAATGTAGAAGGTCTTCATTATGCCGATCTGGAACTGACACGCGCTGAATACCGTAAAAATCATCCTGTACCTAATAATACAAGAAGAAGTTCAGAAGACTCTGTGACAGAATACGCCTCTGTTCGTGTTGCTTAAATAACTCTAGGGAACACGTAATTCAAGTGTCAAAACACCGGCCATGCCTTAATATTACTTTAACAAATATTTGCAATTTTCGTTGTTTGACAACTTTTGTATTCATTAATTAACATTACAATAAGAGATGTAAAATCAAAACCAAATTTATATGGTAATAACCTTCATTTGTCAAGGATAAATTTCACCCTTGATATGCCTGTATAAAGATCTTTAAAGAAATATAGATGTCTAGATATTTGTCTTAACTTTCATGTAATTTTTTGTTGTTTCTGAAAAGCGAGTTTAATATGGGGTCTAATCAACTGGTAAAGCAAATGTTTAGATGACTATATCTCACTTATTAATAGTATCACTAATAGAAATGGTATTATTATATGATAATTAATCAATAATTATTGTTAATGATGACAGTAGATCATAATTAGCCCAGACCAATTTGTCTCAATTTTATGGAAAATATTAATGAATAGATAATTCTCATAAAGCACTGACCTAGGTTTCAAAGTATGATCATGATATTTGCATGAAGTTTAGACTTGGCACATCAAGGGTGAAATTCTACTTTACGATTACAAACTCTTTAAGATTTTACAATGATAATGAAATCAAAAAGAAAATTTTAAAACATATGATTTGATTTATGGTGCCATTATTGTAAATAGGAAGACTAATTATGGGGCTCAAGTCTTATGGGCAAACTAAACATGTAATGAAGTTTATATTTTTGTTAGTTTTTTATTACATTTTTTAATGACTTTTAGAAGTAGTCTATAAGAAATCAAATTTGAAAGATCTGCAAGTTTTTAATCAAGACTGGTAGGACAGGTTATCTTTTTTATGTTTTACATCATGATGTTGTATATACAACCTCAATTAGACTCAAAGAAGAGAGTACAAGATACTGAAACTGAAATCCAATTTTATGATTTTTTGAGTTATGCTCAACTTTTAATGTGTTTTGTGAAACATAAAAGAAAACTACCACATCGTCTTTTACAATTGAAACTAATAAGGTAATCGATGATCTAAAATATAAAAGTATATATTGATTTTAATTTGTCAAACAAATTTCCTATAAAGTTCATTGTTATTTAATCATAATAAAACCACTTTAAGTAAGAGAACATTCCATGCAATCTGCTATTGTATATCATAGAAGATAAAATTCAAAGTTTAATGACTGAATAAGAACTGTCTCAATAGTTGACTACTGGTAAATTTTGCCTGCTTGTTTTTGTCAAAACTTGAATAATATGTTATTCATATTTATTTTCTATAGAATATTCTATATCTGTCGGTAAGCTTTTTAAAAATTACAAAAACAAATTTTTATTCTTATGTTTACGTTATTTTTGGGCTTATTGGTACCATAAGTAAAATGAAAACCCATCTATCATAGGAGACAATTTTAACTTTTATTTGCACTATTTTATTTTCTGTTCCTGTTATCCTGCCATTGATTCAAATACAATTTGGCTGAAATAATTTTTGAAAAAATATGACAGGAACTATGAATCTGGCAAATGAAAGAAATAAGTGTTCCTAATAAATATAACTTTGAAAGTAAGTTTATATTTTGAATCCTTTTTTTGTCTCACTATACATTATTTTTTATTCTATTTTCATTTTGGTTCAAGGGTCATCAAAAAATTTAATGGTTTCTGCTTTCTCTATTTTCATTTTAAGGTAAACAACAATTCCATGATAAGTACAGCATAAATTACATTAACAAAATGATTAATCTTGAGCATAAAGCATGTATTAACCCTTACAACAATTATAAAGTTATTGCTTCTCTTTGCTACATATGTTTGTAAGAGAACACATTAAAATATATGATATACTTATTTTTAAATTTTTTTGTGTCTTATAAGTTCTTAACTCAACTGAAATTCAATGCTATTTCATATAAAAATCAAAGAGCTTGCCACTGAAATTATATATCATATGCATTTGTTGAATACTGAGCATTTTAATTCTTCTGCTGAGTTTGCTTGATTCTTTTTATCATTCATATTAAATTGTTCATTAAATACTCTCAATTTGTGTATAATGATATAACTGAAACATCTTGAAACAGTATGAATTTTAAACAACCCATGTAGGTTATTGATACTTTCATGGGACAAATTGTTGAAAATTTTAAGAGACTGATGATACTCATCTGTGAACTAAACATCAGGTTTAAACAACTTACCTCAGCTCTGCAGCATGCTGGTCACATGCATACACAGTGAAATCATTTCATGTATCTTTAAATTTGTTATGTGTGTTGAGGACATCAATTTGCACCAATCCAATTTTCAATGAGTTGTTTGTGGTTCTGCAATCCACTAAAACTAAGGGCTTGGTGATGTCAATAATCAAAAGGGCCTCATGTGATAAAGCAATTTCGCGATGAGAGATGTCAAACACATAGATTTAGTGGAATCACAGATTGAACATTGGACTGGTGCAAATTGATACTGTCAGTGTCCGGGATAAACTTTTTGTTAGAAAACCTCGTTTCAATTCCTTTAAGAAAAGTGCCTTACATTTCAAATGGTATTCCATGGCAGTGATCATAATATTCAGGATCATTGTTCAAAGTTGTTTCATTATTCAGTTATTTGCTTGAATTACTTTTATAACCATGCTACCTTTATGGAAAAATATACAGAAATGTTTTACTATATAATATACATGTACATCATATCTCATCTTTATTGCCTTATTATCAGATCTTCCCTTGTTGTATATTTACATTATACAATTTACCTATAGGTTGGCTTCTCAAGTTTGTAGACAATTCTATGATTTGGATATTGGATAGATTTATATCTTTCTTAAAAATTTCAACAAAAAAATCAAAGCACTTTGTATATTTGTATAGATATCTAAACAGGCTGATAGACAAAGTGATTTGCCCAATCAAATGACTGGAACAATTTCAAAATTCTCAGTCTTTCAAAATTCTCTTCACCCATTTAATGTTCATCCATACTACTTAACTTTTAATTCTCATGTTTTGTTAAATAATTGTTATAACATATGTATATATTATATTAAATTGTCCTATATATATTTTTATACACTGCATGTAAACCTTATGATCTGTTTATATTTTTGAAAATGAATATATAATGTATGTAAGCATTAAATGTTATTGTTATACCATATATTTGACTGTCACATTGTCACTACTGAACACTTCATTAGCCCATATTGTGCAGAAAAGTATGATGTAAAACTTCATTAATTTCATTTCTACTGAACAATTAGATTCACAGATAACTTGCAGTATTACTTTTTGATTATCATTGAATGAGAAATTGTCAAGGCAAACGCTAAAAAATAAAGTTTACTTTATGAGTAATGGCAGCTTTACTTGAGTACCTTTTGCCAGTTTGTTCAAGACAGTAGCTGAAGAAGATGAATATCTTTCTGCAATACTTGACTTATTATATTCAGAAATATTATATCTTTACTTTCCAACTTCTCACCTTGTGGCTATATTTGCTCTAGTACTATTAATGTTAATAAAGTATCTAGATGATATACTGATCATATTTGGTGATATTTATCTTACAAAGATGCATCAATTTACATCTTATCCAAACTGTCCAAGTAGAAAAGTTATCAGATTTTCAATAAATGTGAAATTCTTCTATTTCTGTAAAGTGTTAAAAGTAGAATTCTTTTCTTTATCCTTAACTTGCTGAGGACTTTTCAACTTTTTCATCTCTTCAGTTTTGATGGAGATTTTCTTTTGAGAGGTTTTTTTTTTTTTAAAGATAAAATTTTTACAATATCTTCAGTTGTGTAAATATTGAAAAGAAATAAAATATTAGGCTATGTGTTTAATCATTCATAAGTGTAGGAAAATAAGACACATTTTAGAAATTTTTACATAATTACAGGATTATATAAATATCTATTACCGGTATCTAAACGCTTGAACTTTTTTATATCCATTTTTGGAATGCAATCTTTTCTCATTTCCAATTTTTTCAATGCCAATAGCCAGCCTGGTATTTCTAATTTTTTATTTCCAACATTTTCTGATTTCAGGATTATGAAAACCGTGGTGTAGTCAACAAATCATTGGATGAACCCCATGAAAGCAAACCTCGGCCTTACAATGTCTACCAAAACAATGGTGGAGGACGTCACAATCCTGGTATGGATGACAGCATGTCTGATGATCGTTCTCGAGTGGAATATCCTGCTGAAGATGGTACAGATATCCGTGGATCCAATGCAATGCTGGGATCAGCAGTGTAAATATTAGTATCCATGTTTTTTGAATCATTCATAATATAAACAATTACAAATTAGTAAATACATTGAGGTTATGATTTGAAAAGGTTTTTACAGTTTTTAAAACTAAAGTAAAACCTGAGGTTGTGATTGATAATATAACAAACATGAAACTTGATTAAGATATGGCACAATAATTATTGGATGTTTGAAGATTGATAACTAACGAGTTGTGAAAAAACATAATAATCGTAATGTACAACCAGGGCTGATGATATTCCTGCCTTTGCCATTCAAGTTTGGCTAGAATTCTAAAATGTCTGAGGTGATTGTGGCATTAAAGGCACAATTATTCAAAAATACAAATTTTCAACTTGGGCTGGAAATTATACAATGATAAGTGCTATCAGAAATATATACGCATAAAAGCCAGGTATTACCACAGTAGCCTATAGATTTAAAATGTTGAGAAAAAGGCCCAAATCGTATCGCAGCTTTAAGAGATATATAGTCATCTCATTATTAGCTTCATCAGCTGATAGAGGTTCCTTTCATTTACTTTTATCACACTTTCAGAATGGAAAAAACTGATTTGTTTCATAAAATATCTTTATATTTTATCCCAATTTGCCAAGGCCTTTATTTTCACAAGTAGATGAAAAGGTTGAGACCACTGTATTATATTAACAATGTAGGCCTACATTTGTTAGCTGATACTGAGCTCTATCAGCTGATTAAACTAATTAATAGAATAATTA